TTTACAACCTGTGGATTTCAATTTCCAGAATTCCTGAGCCAGCATGGTTGCCTAACCTTGGATTATACCGTAGTATGAGTGAAAAGGGGACGCAGTGGCTCAGTGGCTAAGACGCTGAACTTGTCGATCAGAAAGGTCAGCAGTTCGGTGGTTCGAATCCCTAGCACTGCGTAATGGAGTGAGCTCCAGTTACTTGTCCCAGCTTCTGCCAACCTAGCAATTTGAAAGCATGTAAAAATGCAAGTAGAAAAATAGGAACCACCTTTGGTGGGAAGGCAACAGCGCTCCATGTGCCTTCGGCGTTTAGTCATGCTGGCCACATGACCACGGAGACGTCTTCAGACAGTGCTGGCTCTTCGGTTTTGAAACGGAGATGAACACCACCCTCTAGAGTTGGGAACAACTAGCAGATATGTGCGAGGGGAACCTTTACCTTTACCTATGATTGAAAATATTTCCTTATTTTAAAAACGATTAGCGATGCAGATACAGAATGGAAGATTTTTTTATGCTATATAACAGATATTTGTTTAACTATTTTGCATCCCTAGCATGCCATAAACCACATGAAAGTTGCCTATGTGCCGCCCATGGAAGATATTGGTCCTGAACCTCAACACATCCAGTTCGCATTTTCCATCAGCAATCAACATGGGGGAACTTTGTATGGCAACTGTTTTAACATTACTGTCCTTCCAGTGGACAATCAGTCTCCAGAGGTATGTTTTTGATGCTAAAAGAAGTAGAAGAAAATGGAGACTACAGGTAGATCATGATTTATGATCGGTTGCTAAGTGATCATTTGACGTTAGAATGGACTTCCCAGGGAGTACTTATAACCTGGTTCTGAAGTACTGGCAGCCATGACCCTGGTGGCCACGTGACCGCACTCTGGGTACTTAGAAACTAGCCTGTACTTAGAGCAGTGGTGAAATGCAATTTTTTTACTACCGGTTCTGTGGGCGTGGCTTGGTGGGTGTGGTATTACTTGGTGGGCATGGCAGAGGAAGGATACTGCAAAATTTCCCTTCCCACTCTATACTGGGGCCAGCCAGAGGTGGCATTTCCGTTACCGATTCTCTGAACTACTCAAAATTTCTGCTACCAGTTCTCCAGAACCTGTAAGAACCTGCTGGATTTCACCCCTGACTTTGCATTTGCAAAGCATCCTAAGATCACATGATACCAAAAAGGTTATAAAGGGTCAGTCCAGTGGGCGATTTGATTTATGACTCTCATGACTTATGACCATGATGAGCAGACTCCATTATAGTCCTACATTGAGGAGTATCTATATATCACTTAGATCTGAGTTTCAGTCTAAGCTGGGCATAGATTTTGTTCATTTATTTTCAGATGCAGATCAGTGGTGGTCTTCCAGCTTTTATTGGTTTGGGCTAACCAATAGTGGCACCTACTGGAGGCTGTGCCCCGCCCCGATGTAATGCGCAACCTTCTGTGCATGCGCAGAAGGCAGTGCGCATGTGCAGAAGGGGGCGTATGCTAGCGTAGCAAGCGCACGTAGAGAGCATGCTTACATTGGCAAACTGGTAGCGAAGGTAAGTGAATCCCACCACTGATGCAGATGTTTTATTCATAATCATTTATTCAATTGTACTTTTGGTACGATTTTAAAACAATAACCATAATAGTAATAATGATATTTGAGAATGGAATCACATTTTACGAAACAGGACTTTTGCCAGAGAAGGCATGGTGGGCAAAATAGGTTCAGGAAAGGGAATAATGGATAGAAATAGGAAGTTTTAATAATTTCTGATGCTGTCAATTCTTCTTTAGAACTGTCAATTTTCCAATTTCCGAGCTAGGACAAAGGGAAAATCAGTTTAAAAAACTGTGAAAGGAATCAATACGATTATCATCATCATTATTATTAGCCTATGTTGTAAGCTATTGAAATTATATTATGTTTTTACTTTTCATATGGTCTGAGTTTTTTCCCCTAGTTAGAAACATTCACAATCAGTTAAAACAAGCACACCTTAGGTGTAAAGGGATAGAAGAAAGTTTTATTGGGTTGAGAAGGAGTTAGTATAAGAAATAAGCAGGCTGTTAAAGTCCAAATGATGATTTGCCTTTTCTTTACATTTTAAGAATTAGAATTGTCTTTCTCTGATCTTATAATGTCGGTATTGGAAAACTGAAAAAATATTTACTATATATGGAACCAGAACAAAGCAAAACTGGTCTTTCATTTGAATCACAATGCAGTTGAGTTTGGAAGTGATTGTTGCCCACTTCTGGGAATTCTTTCCTTTAACTTTCCCCATGTCGTTGCTAAAAGCAATCATCATTTTTCCTCTATCTTTTGTTCACATCAGAGATGGTATTCAGCAGGTTCTGACCAGTTCTGGAGAACTGGTAGCAGACATTTTGAGTAGTACAGAGAACTCGTAAATACCACCTCTGACTGGCCCCACCCCCATCTATTATCTGCCTCCCAAGTCCCAGCTGATCGGGAGGAAATGGAGATTTTGCAGTATCCTTCTCCTGCCGCGCCCACCAAGCCACACCACGCCCACAGAACCAGTAGTAAAAAAGTTGAATCCCACCACTGGTTCACATGTAGAATTAGAATATTAGAATACTGCAAAACATTTCAAATTTTAAATTTTTAAGGACAATACAGAACATCTGTTTTGATTTCAGTGGGCTGTTCTTACTTCACAAATGTTCTGATACTCTTTTTGTGCTATCANTTCTGTGGGCATGGCTTGGTGGGCATGGTGGGGCTTGGTGGGTGTGGCAGGGGAAGGATACTGTAAAATCTCCATCCCCACCCCACTCCAGGGGAAGGATACTGCAAAATCCCCATTTCCTCCCAATCAGCTGGGACTCGGAAGGCAGAGAATAGACTGGAGGGGCCAGTCAGAGGTGGTATTTACCGGTTCTGCAAACTACTCAAAATTTCTGCTACCGGTTCTCCAGAATTGGTCAGAACCTGCTGAATACCACCTCTGGCATGGATGTGTGGCGATAGGACTATATTATATGTGCAATACCAGAAGCGGCCCTCAATGTATATTTAAGTAGAAATCAAAGATATTTTGTATCTTAAGATCTTTGACATGTACATGTCAAGGCATCATAGACAACAATATGAGAAGCTGATCAATGACAACGAATATGAATCCATATAAGCAGACCTACAATGACCTCAGGAGGCCATTTGAAAACACAATTATGGTTATTTGAATTGGGAAGGTTCAGATTGTGCACAAGACTTTAAGAACTACTAAGTACATAGGTAGCTTGCCATAATAACATCTCAGTATTATGGACATTATAATAGACAGTTGTGATTACATTACTTGACTAGTCACTTAGTGGACCTCTCCAAATGTACTTATGAGTCAATTCTAGAGTTCCAATAGTTGCATTACATCACTGCAATTACATGACTGCATTTTGGATGCTTGGCAATCAACTTACCTTTTTGAGCAGTTATTGCATTCTGTGGTGACATCACCATGAATTATGATATTCTTTTGTGAGCTTCTGTCTTTTGGGCTGGTTTCTGGCCAAAAAAAGTCCATAGAAATAAAGCGATTCACTTAACAACTATGGGATTTGCTTAATGGTTGTAGCAAAATCTATTATAAAATCAGAATTGTATGTTATCTACCTACAAGTACTTACCCAGACATTCTGTGATCACAGTTATTTCACTATAAATTATAACAAGTAGAAAGACACTTATAAGGAACTTTCTGTCCTATTTTGGAATGACTGTATTTCTTCTCTTTTCAAAACATCCTGTGATTTAGTACACATATATGACAGTTCTTTTTTTTTCTACAGCCATACAGATGCTGGAAAATTATTCATGGTAGAGAGTATTCCTAGGCTTATCAAGGATCCTTCTATTCCACCACTAAGATCATTCACTCAGGTTTGTCATTAAATTTAAAGTTGACCTGAAAATGTCCCATCATGCATTACACCCACTTTATCTAAAGAGTCAATTGAAAAACAAGCTGCTCTGCATGTGATTAGAAGCAGTTTTCACTACAAGGAACCCATGGAAGGAAAAAAAAAGCCCAAAATTAATGCTAGCTTTGAAGAATTCCTATGTGGACAATCTTAATTTGGTCTAGGATGGTTTGATGTTTTTTTTCCTGCAGTCTGCAATGTTTTTAGTAAACATTTTCACATCCATAATTTAAAGGTCTTTTACCTTCATTTCCTCATTCCTTTTAAATGATCAGTTTTCAGAGCTGCGTAATAATTGAAATGTAAAATATAAAATAGGTTATTGTAAAAATGTATGCACAACTAGATTAAAATAGGGGTGGATAACTATGAAAAATTTACAACCTGTGGATTTCAATTTCCAGAATTCCTGAGCCAGCATGGTTGCCTAACCTTGGATTATACCGTAGTATGAGTGAAAAGGGGACGCAGTGGCTCAGTGGCTAAGACGCTGAACTTGTCGATCAGAAAGGTCAGCAGTTCGGTGGTTCGAATCCCTAGCACTGCGTAATGGAGTGAGCTCCAGTTACTTGTCCCAGCTTCTGCCAACCTAGCAATTTGAAAGCATGTAAAAATGCAAGTAGAAAAATAGGAACCACCTTTGGTGGGAAGGCAACAGCGCTCCATGTGCCTTCGGCGTTTAGTCATGCTGGCCACATGACCACGGAGACGTCTTCAGACAGTGCTGGCTCTTCGGTTTTGAAACGGAGATGAACACCACCCTCTAGAGTTGGGAACAACTAGCAGATATGTGCGAGGGGAACCTTTACCTTTACCTATGATTGAAAATATTTCCTTATTTTAAAAACGATTAGCGATGCAGATACAGAATGGAAGATTTTTTTATGCTATATAACAGATATTTGTTTAACTATTTTGCATCCCTAGCATGCCATAAACCACATGAAAGTTGCCTATGTGCCGCCCATGGAAGATATTGGTCCTGAACCTCAACACATCCAGTTCGCATTTTCCATCAGCAATCAACATGGGGGAACTTTGTATGGCAACTGTTTTAACATTACTGTCCTTCCAGTGGACAATCAGTCTCCAGAGGTATGTTTTTGATGCTAAAAGAAGTAGAAGAAAATGGAGACTACAGGTAGATCATGATTTATGATCGGTTGCTAAGTGATCATTTGACGTTAGAATGGACTTCCCAGGGAGTACTTATAACCTGGTTCTGAAGTACTGGCAGCCATGACCCTGGTGGCCACGTGACCGCACTCTGGGTACTTAGAAACTAGCCTGTACTTAGAGCAGTGGTGAAATGCAATTTTTTTACTACCGGTTCTGTGGGCGTGGCTTGGTGGGTGTGGTATTACTTGGTGGGCATGGCAGAGGAAGGATACTGCAAAATTTCCCTTCCCACTCTATACTGGGGCCAGCCAGAGGTGGCATTTCCGTTACCGATTCTCTGAACTACTCAAAATTTCTGCTACCAGTTCTCCAGAACCTGTAAGAACCTGCTGGATTTCACCCCTGACTTTGCATTTGCAAAGCATCCTAAGATCACATGATACCAAAAAGGTTATAAAGGGTCAGTCCAGTGGGCGATTTGATTTATGACTCTCATGACTTATGACCATGATGAGCAGACTCCATTATAGTCCTACATTGAGGAGTATCTATATATCACTTAGATCTGAGTTTCAGTCTAAGCTGGGCATAGATTTTGTTCATTTATTTTCAGATGCAGATCAGTGGTGGTCTTCCAGCTTTTATTGGTTTGGGCTAACCAATAGTGGCACCTACTGGAGGCTGTGCCCCGCCCCGATGTAATGCGCAACCTTCTGTGCATGCGCAGAAGGCAGTGCGCATGTGCAGAAGGGGGCATATGCTAGCGTAGCAAGCGCACGTAGAGAGCATGCTTACATTGGCAAACTGGTAGCGAAGGTAAGTGAATCCCACCACTGATGCAGATGTTTTATTCATAATCATTTGTTCAATTGTACTTTTGGTACGATTTTAAAACAATAACCATAATAGTAATAATGATATTTGAGAATGGAATCACATTTTATGAAACAGGACTTTTGCCAGAGAAGGCATGGTGGGCAAAATAGGTTCAGGAAAGGGAATAATGGATAGAAATAGGAAGTTTTAATAATTTCTGATGCTGTCAATTCTTCTTTAGAACTGTCAATTTTCCAATTTCCGAGCTAGGACAAAGGGAAAATCAGTTTAAAAAACTGTGAAAGGAATCAATACGATTATCATCATCATTATTATTAGCCTATGTTGTAAGCTATTGAAATTATATTATGTTTTTACTTTTCATATGGTCTGAGTTTTTTCCCCTAGTTAGAAACATTCACAATCAGTTAAAACAAGCACACCTTAGGTGTAAAGGGATAGAAGAAAGTTTTATTGGGTTGAGAAGGAGTTAGTATAAGAAATAAGCAGGCTGTTAAAGTCCAAATGATGATTTGCCTTTTCTTTACATTTTAAGAATTAGAATTGTCTTTCTCTGATCTTATAATGTCGGTATTGGAAAACTGAAAAAATATTTACTATATATGGAACCAGAACAAAGCAAAACTGGTCTTTCATTTGAATCACAATGCAGTTGAGTTTGGAAGTGATTGTTGCCCACTTCTGGGAATTCTTTCCTTTAACTTTCCCCATGTCGTTGCTAAAAGCAATCATCATTTTTCCTCTATCTTTTGTTCACATCAGAGATGGTATTCAGCAGGTTCTGACCAGTTCTGGAGAACTGGTAGCAGACATTTTGAGTAGTACAGAGAACTCGTAAATACCACCTCTGACTGGCCCCGCCCCCATCTATTATCTGCCTCCCAAGTCCCAGCTGATCGGGAGGAAATGGAGATTTTGCAGTATCCTTCTCCTGCCGCGCCCACCAAGCCACACCACGCCCACAGAACCAGTAGTAAAAAAGTTGAATCCCACCACTGGTTCACATGTAGAATTAGAATATTAGAATACTGCAAAACATTTCAAATTTTAAATTTTTAAGGACAATACAGAACATCTGTTTTGATTTCAGTGGGCTGTTCTTACTTCACAAATGTTCTGATACTCTTTTTGTGCTATCAGGAGCATTCTGAGTTTAAAAACAGCCCTGTTTCCAGCTCAGAAAATTTCAAATTTGAAAGTCACCTCTACTCAGCATCACTGAGAAAAAAGCCAGCTGTTAAACTGTTAACATATGCTGTATAAAAATTGTTGCTGTAGAATGATTTAAATGGAATAAGAAAATGATGGTTTGTGTGGGAGGAAGATTAATTGCACAAATCAGTTCCTGCAAGATGACCTGAAAATGGAGGGGGGGGGGAATAGCAATTTATTGTACCTGTATTTCCCCAAAAATAAGACAGGGTCTTATTTCTTTTGACCCCCGAAATAAGCACTTGGCTTTATTTTTGGGGAAGTCTTATTATTTTTGAGGTGCAGGAAGTGGTGAGCATGGTCACCTCATGGCTGCTGCTGTGTTGCAATATTTTTGAGGAGGGGTTATTTTCGGGGGGAGGGCTTATTTGAGCGCATGCGCTCAAAAGCCTGATTGGATTTATTATCCAGGGAGGTCTTATTTTCGGGGAAACAAAGTATATCCTTTTTGTGTGGAATTGAGATGAGAGGATTTTTGTTGCTCCATTAAGGAACAATAATTCAAGAGGTGGGACACTCTTTGTAGTTTTGTGTGCAGTGGAGATAAAAGTTTTGCCAACCGAAGATAAATGTGAGTGCTGGCTCTCTCATAATGTTCTCTGCATGTTTTTTTGCATTTTGAGGTTGGCAGAAGTGAAAATAATAATGGGGTCAGTTTCAGACTTTGGGAGACTTGTGAGTGGAATCAGCAGAATCAGAACTACTATATGATTTTGAAATCTCAATAAATCTAGCAATATATAAGTACACCTCAAAGCAGGAATGCCACTACCACAAGATAGATCCCCTCCACAGGAGGGCAAAAACAACTTTAATTGAGTTTGTCTGTAGTAACAGAAAGTTGCTTGTCTGATTGTGTTGTACCTCCTTTCTCCTACTTATTAGGGAGGCATTTCTCTGCATTAAGAAGGCACCTGTTTGAACCTCTTCTAAATGCCAACTAGATGTCCTGAGTTTAGAAATGGTTTTATTCTTTCCCACTATGACAATGGAGTTTGCATATCTCCCTCATGGCCATCTACCTGATCTCCTGCAATAAGAAAATATAATTTCATCCTGGGTATTTCTGATGGGAAAATGGGGGGAAAATTACAATACATAACATTACATATTCTAACCGCAAGTAGAATTGTTTTAGAACAGAACTGGAAACAAACAGATACTCCTCCAGATCTGATTATAAGAAGGTAAATTTATGAATGCGCAGAAATGGATATACTGTCTATGGAAATGAAGGCGAGGGAGGAAACCAAATACTATCATATTTGGAATAGATGGTATTCCTGGCTTGAGAGTAAACGTAAAACTTAGGGTATAAAAGGTTAAAGTGTAATATATAAAATGTAAAAGGTATAAGAAATATACAATATTGATTTGATGTTATTATAACTTAAATAAGGATATAACTTAGGATAGTGAAATTGAGATAGAATTTTTGTAAATAGGATTGTTATGAAAAATATTGATATCGATATAGAAAACTGTTATAAGTGTAAATTTGTGTTTTGTGTTTTGTCTTTTAAATGTTGGAAAATTAAATAAATACTATTTTAAAAAAAGAAAATATAATTTCAGAAAATTTATGGTTTTTCATTTTGTCCACAAAGACCAACACTCTTCAAGTCCAACGTTGACCAATTGAGAAAATATTGTGGACACTGTCTCCAGAATGCAAAACTTTTTTTAGATGAGAAATTTTGAAGTCTGCAGAACTGTGTTCTATGAAAAAATACGCCCTAGGCCTAGTACTAAAACTTCAGCAAAAATATTATTCTAAGAGGAAATGGCAAGTGTTGTAACTTTTCTTCTACTTAGGTGCTTACAAACAACTTGAAAGTGGAAGAAGGGGGCCAGAGCACCATTACCAAAGGCCATATTTTGATTTCAGATGTGGACACCAAGCTGGAAAACATACGTATACATCTCCTTAAGCTCCCTCTTCATGGAACTATTGAGTTAAATGAGAATCCTATGAACCAAAGAGATTGGCTGACGTGTGAAGATTTACAGATGTCCAAAGTCAGGTTAGGGTGCAAATTGCTATTGCTGTGAAGCCATAGGCCCGATCAAATTTTGATGAAAAGTAACCTGTCTTACATTCATTGGATAGCAAATATGTTTAAATTCTTTCCCGTCCTCTCCATATTAACTCTTTGCAAATGTAAACGAGCAGATCTGAGAAAATTGATCCAAAATTGTCTCTTTCAATTTTATTTCAAACAGTTGATTCTGAAGTGTGTGTGTGTGTGTGTGTGTGTGAGAGAGAGAGAGAGAGAGAGAGAGAGAGAGATGTCAAGATGGTGGGTTTGATCATGTGATTAAAAACGGGGAGGTTTTTATTTCACAGCTGTATCTGATATTTTACTTTTTTTGACATGCCTCCTCATGGATGCTTCTTAGTGAAGAATGGGAAATATTAGGTCTTTTTTGTTTAGAAAAGACTGGATTTAGTGACAATGTACAGAATTTAGCGCATTACTGAAGCCTGCCAATAGTTGCAGTAGCAACCTTGCAAACCTAGGTTTATCCTTTGATTCCCATAGGTACCATCATAATGGTTCAGAGTTTCCACAGGATCATATTCTTTTTGAGGCTACAGATGGCGTTAATTCCTTCGAATTCATCCTCCATGTGAAGGTCAGTGTAAGATTCCTTCAAAACACACGTCCGGTGGAAAAGTGAAATTGTCAAAGGGATTTGCGCTTGGCTTCAGCAACTGGGAATTCATAGACAGGAAGAGTTTTGTTCTTCACGTTGGAGGTTTATGTGACAGTACTTGTTAGGCAACAGATTTGATATGCAGGAGCTGATAGACACCTGCACCTGTTCAGTTTATCCCCTATTGTCAGGAATAAATTTCATTTAGAATTAAATGATGAAGAAAATGCAATGTGTCAGAAAAAGTTATTTCAGCAAAGGCCCCTTAAGAAAACCAAACTTATGTTGCATTTTTATTTGGGTTACCATTCCTAGATTGTTAGAAATCAGACGGTTCAAAATGTTTGTCTTTTGTTTGTAAAATCAGGAAAATCTCAAGTCAAATATAGAGATTATGATTTTTAAAGGCTAATTCTGCAAACAGTGTTCCTCGATTTACAACTGTTTGATTAGTGACTATTCAAAGTTACACCCTGCCTTTAGTGGGATATAAAATAAATAAATACACGATAACCTAGCTAACTAAAAATTACATGGCATGTGATATAACTGGAAGCAATCCTCTGTTTATGTATGAGGTGGGTAGGAGGTGGATTTTTAATGTTGTAATCTTTCTGGAATCACTGCGTATGAGTTGGACATCCATATACATTTGTTTGAATAAATAAATAAAATATTTTTTTTCTAGGTAATTTCTGTAAATGATGAACCCCCGGTGATGAATGCTGACCTCATTCCCTTCATGCAGTGTCCAGAAGGACAGGCGGTGTCCATCACTTCAGAGCACCTCTATGCAACTGATAAAGATAGTGAAGACATGCAGCTTTTGTTCATGCTTGCGCGACCTTCTAAGTATGGGGTTGTGAAGAGAGGCGGACTTGTGATAGATCGCTTTCTCCAAGCTGATGTTGTTTCTGGAACTGTGACATATGAACATACAAGTAAGTAAAAACTTGGGACTAATTGTGGAAGGCACAGAAAATGGCCTTGAATGACAGTGGGAAGATCCATTACCAAGACAGCAATCAGACAGAAACAGCTTAAGTACAGAGGTGGTATTCGGCCGATTCAGACTGGTTCACCCGAACCAGTAGTGGAAATTGTGGGTGGGCTGCCCACCCGTCTCGGTCCTGTGTCATCCTATTTAGACATGTTTTCAAGTCATGTGCATGCGTGCAAGTCACACATGCAATCAAAGAGCATTCGTGGAAGGCTGAGTGCATATGTGGATGGACGCGCTCCCATTTTCAAACCGGTAGGGAAAGTAAGTGAATACCACCCTTGCTTACCACATTCCAAAGGACAAGCCTGATAAAATACTTCAAATAGTACCTTCCCTAATTCACACGAAGATAAAATGAAGGAGGAGGGAAGCATATTCAGGCATGCAAGATTCTGTTACTATAACTGTTCTAATAAAAGTAGTTTATTGACATTGATTTCATAACTTAGTCTATTGACTATGTTGATACTATATAGAGACCTGAGTTTTTACTGGTATTGTGAAAAATTATTCCTCCTTGCAGTTTCCTTGAGTGGCACAAAAATGGTTCTGCTATGCCTGGAAAGGCCCTTTATGCTGATTTCTTTTTTGTTTTTATTTAACATTGCTACATTATACTGAAAATAAATATATTGTGTTTTCCAAGGGGAAAAAATCCAGAAAAACAAAGAAGAAAGACATTGAATGCTAAATGAGAGTGAACTGTGCTCGTAGCTATTTAATAAATTTATTTACTGTCCAATTTATTATCTTGTCAGCAGATTTTACCAATGATTAAATTCTTCAAGAAAGTTTGCTTCTCTTATCAAAAGATAAACTTTCCCCCTCTTTCATCAAAGGCATAGTTAGCAATCTCCTTTGTAATGCTTGCCCCGAAGAAGAAATTTAATTCTATAAGACATTAGGCAGAAATGTAAATTGAATAGTAACTATCTTTTTGGCGGTTCGGCAGAATTATTCTTGCTTATTCTTCCAGATGAAAGTTGCATGTAATCTATAATAGTTTAAAATATTGGTCAGGATACAGATGGCTTCTTTGCATTACTATGGCTAGACTTCAGGTGACAGATGCTGTAATTGATACTGAATGATCATTAATTTTATTAACTAGATTAACGAGTTACTAAATTTATGGCTTCCAAAGCACAAGAGTCCCTTTTTAGAAAGAACCGTAGCACACATGGCCATTACATAATGTTCTTATGACTGATACCATATATTTCTGTTATTGAAAACACAAGATACTTGAAATGAAAAATATCAAATAACAGCAGTCATGTGCAAAATTGATAAACATTTGATTTACATAAATAAATCTTCCATTTTGCCTGTTTGTCACCTCTTTGAGCTGTCAATATTAGAAAACACAGAGTGTTTATGATACCTGTCTCCATGACATAAAAGCAGATGACATTAAATAATCAGGCTTGTACCTTCACTGATGACAAATGCTGGTGGGAGATAGTTGACAGAGAAGGTGATTCTTGTACTGGGAGAAAACATCCATGTTTGCCACCAAATAACTCCAGGGAATGAATTTTTTCTCTCACATTTTAGAATCCTAGTTCGTCTTGGGAATATGCATAAAGGCAAAAACTGAAATCATTTGTGAAAGTGTCACTTTAATTCAGTTGATGGGTGTCTCGTCTGACATTCCTCCCTCATGAGTCCTGTTGAAGAAAATTGTTGGGTGAAAATCTCTCAAAATCGCCCATCCTGTATAAAGCTGACAGATCTTATTTAGTTTTTTTTTAAACTGTTTTGTAGCCATTCTATTTAATAGTCCGAAGGGGTGTAGTTCACCAAGAAGAGTATTTCAGATCAAAAACTGCATAATTGAATCAGTTCTAGGAGCTCAACAATGAACTTTGCTAATGAATTTAGATACAGACTTTCTTATGTACTGTCAGATATGGTATTCTATCAGTTCAGACCAGATTGCCTGAACCGATAACGGAAATCGCGGGTGGCTCTGCCCACCCGCCCTCAGCTCTATGGCATCCCATTTAGGCCCTTTTTTCACCAAAAGCGCATGCACGGAAGGATCTGCGCATGTGTGGAGGTGTGGTTAGGGAGAAAATTGCATGCATGCTCACATTTGTGAACCGGTAGGGAAGGTAAGTGTTGAATATGTTTGAGGGAAAGACGCAGGAGCCATGGAATCAGAGAGTAAGATGTTTATTGCAGCCAATCAGAGAGCTGGTAACAGGGAACATTTGCATATATAACACTCCTTCCCCCCAGTTATTTGCATACTCAACACTCCTCTAACATTTGCATATATAACAGTAAGTGTATACAATTCCTGTATAACCTATAACAGGTTTGTTAAGGAAAATGTTAGCTCAGGAACTGAAGCGCTTTTCAAATCTATTTTTTTCTCTCCAGAGGATTGTTTGGAACATGTCTATAATGGTTCAGTAGGACATCCAAAATTCTTAATTTTGACTATCTTTTGTCACAGTAGTCACTAGGAAAATACTGAAATATTAAATTACTTTAGTCTTCATGCTGCGTATCTCTTATATGAGACAATTGGTTACTCCCCAATTCCCCCCCCAAATGTTTCTTCTGTTTGCATTAGAAGGAAAAGATGTGTGTAGAATCTTTTGATAATTTTGTGATTTGATTAGATTAGATTCAGCACAAAAACATAGATACTGCACTTTAGCTGCGTCACAATTTTAGACATTTCTCTTAAACCTCATGGTTTCCTAATTATTGCTGAAAATAATTTTCATATATCCTCTTGATAGGCTAATGCTGCAAAATACCATATACTTCATCTATATATTTTATTTTTCTAGGTGGCGAGATTGGCCTAGCTCTTATCTTTGATGTTCTTACCTTTATTGTGTTGGATGATGAAATTGATCCTGATGTAAAGGCCTGTTGCGACGAGAAAGCTTCATTTTTTCCTGTACCATATCATAAATCCTTTCCAGTATATGATATTAATATTACAATATTTCCAGTTGACAACCAGCCACCATCCATTGCCACTGGTAAAATTATTATTGCTTTTTATGTCTGGCTAATTGGGTGTGGTGATTGTGTAAGCACACACAAAATTTAGCAAAATAGATAAAATAGATAAGCATTTTCTTCTTTCAAAACTCATAGTGTCACATTCTGTCATTTAAAACTTAGGCAGAATGGTAGATGATGGAGGACATCTTCATTTGTACCTGTTCCAATTGAGCAATAAAGCTTATGTAGGGTACCATCAATACAGGTAGTCCTTGACGTACAACAGTTCATTTACTGACTGTTCAAAGTTACAATGGCACTGAAAAAAGTGACTTATGACCATTTTGCACAGTTACAACCATTGCAGCATCCCCATGATCACGTGATCAAAATTCAGGTGCTTGGCAACTGATTCATATTTATGACAGTTGCAGGGTCCCAGGGTCATGTGATCACCTTTTGCGACCTCCTGATAAGCAAAGTCAATGGAGAAGCAAGATTCACTTAACAACTATGTTACTAATTTAACAACTACAGTGATTCACTTAACAACTATGGCAAGAAATTGAGCAAAATTCACCTAACCACTGTCTTACTTAGCAATAAAAAATTGGGCTAATTTGTGGTCATAAGTTGTGGACTACTTGTAAAAGCATTGTCCATCATAGATAATGATATCATTA